ATGATTTTGAAACAGAATCAAGTTTCATGCTGGTTTTCGAGAATTTTGATGTTGCATTCGATTTCAAGTTTTCATACGTTGACATATCAAATTTTGAATTTTTATTCGCTGTAATGGTCACTTCAGATTTATCAGTAATGGACTCGCAAGCAGTGTTTAAGAGTTTCTCGGTGCCAGAAATTGATCGTATGTGTTTGATCAAGAATTTGTCGACACGAAGATTCCGATCACCACTTAAAACCAGGTGTTTTAATTCACGAAAGTATTCTTCGCTTCGTGATGAAGTTGCAGTGCTCCCATTTAATGCCAATATACATGTCCAGAGTGTAAAGTGCTTGGTTATTCTTAGAAGATTATTCGCGAAATTCGGACACCAGTATGGATTTGGTTGGTAATTTGTTTGTGCTGTTTGCCATTTACAATTTTCGAGTTTTTGTAAAAAAGTATTTAATTTCCCGGTTGCATCGAACTCGAAAGTTTCGAGATCTAGATTCACTGCAGAATCATCTTTAGAATCATTTTCAGAATTTATTTTCTTTTCTATAATAGCATCAATTTCTTCTATAAATTCTGTCTCGTTCACTGATTTAATATTCTGGATCAGTCGTTTTTGGGCAGCGAAGCAGCCATTATTTGAACTTACATCCTCGGTCTCCGAAAAAGCTACTATCAAAATATCGCGTAATAAACTTTCGAATCGTTCGAATGTTGTGCATTTTGCGAGAAGTCCAATGCATCGAAGAAAAAATTCTTTTACCCGTGTATGCGTATTGAGAAAGCATTTCCAGCGGGTAACAAGCTTGATAAGATGAGCGATATCAATTCTTATATGGCAACGGGGTTTCATAACGGAACTACTTCCTTCGGCAACCGCAAAACATCTATTGACATATGTGTTAAGGTCAATTGTTTCAAACGCCAAGCTAGCAGCATTTAAAAGCGCCAGGGCATAATCGGTGACAATTTCCGTAGGACACGGTACACCAGAACGTAACCATTCGCGTAACCAGTAAGTTAAGATGTTTGCATCGTGCTTTTCCGAAACCATTTGGACAACCGGCAAGATTTTCGTATGAAACGGAATTACACCCTGGTAAAGATATATAATCGAACTTGATCCATCTGGTTTCGTAATTTTTCGAACAATCGAACCCGTCGCATCTATACTTAGGCTACCAGTTTTCGACGTGTCTTTGCAATGTTTCTTGTAAAGAAAGATTTGTTCCGGACTCCAATACATCGTGAAAAACTTATCGTTCCCAATCTCTCGAATGGTCCCTACAAATTCGGGGCGGTATTTTAATTCACGCACCGATTCCTGGAGGTCGATGCCTTTACAAAGCCCTAACTCTCGATCGCTTTCCGTTTGTTTTGCCTTGCGTAAAACATCTTCGCTGTACAAATGCGCGGGAATTTTGTCACCGAACTCCATAAGCTCATAAGCTTTTTGTCTACGCCAAGCATACGTCGACTGAGCAGTGATTTCTTTAGCGATTCGTTTCCTGTTTTTACCCCGCAGTTGACGCTTCTTTTTGTGCTCAATATTCTTTGTGTCACTTGTTGATATCTGCAATGTAAGACCATCTTCAGTTGGTTTATCTAAGGCGTACAAATTAATTCCAACACGACACTCAGTACATGAACCTTTAATCCACAAGTAAGGTTCCCCGGGATTCTCGTTAACTTTTGGATTTTTAAAGGCATAACAGCACGGCAACTTGTATTCTCGCCACAATTGCTCTTGAAGTACATCGGTCCAACCCTGTCGTAATACTTTGTAATTTCTACTTTTGTACGATACATCCACGATATTATTCCAGTCATCGCCTGAAATAGTAAGTGTCACTCTAAGTGGTGGTAATGATTCATGGGACGTATTCATTGACCAGTTTGAGTTTGCACTGCAATCTTTTTCCGAAATTGATATTTCAGTATTTCGCTCAATACCATGCCACTTTCTGAGCATATCCTGGATTTTGTGGTCATTCCGAGAGATGTATAAGTACATGTGCTTTACAGACATTTCGTTTCGCATTTTTACGATTGCGTCATTCCAAACGTTTTGTGATAACGGTTTTAGTTCTCCGGTATCATTGAAAAACATTAAATCTTTTACTGAATCGAAAATAACTTCCACCGGAAATTTTGCTGCGCGTGGCATTTTTGACAGCTCTCTTTGCGGATTAGTTTACTATTATAACAGTATTCCTTAAATCGGTAAAGATCCAATTTACTTCTGACTTGCTTAAAGACTCGGCTCTATAACGTCTCGAGACAGAATACAGAACGATAATGTTTGAAATAAGCGTCTTTAGCTGTTTTTATACAAGAATCTTTTGTTATAGGAAAACCAATTGGAATATGATGCATTTTAGGCAGCCAATCCGCGTTGTTATTATCGTATGCGATTGATCATCGAACCAGTGTCGCGCGCGGTCTTTGATCGTCGCCGACTTTGGTCAGCGAAGCTCTTTGTAGTGTGCCCGTTATTTGTTTTCGCCGCAACATTATCGTATTAACGTAATTTCAAAAATTGAAAAATGCTATACTTCCAGATCGGTACAAACAAAATAAAAAGAAGTATAAATAGATACAAACAATTCTCTTTCCAACCTCGTTAGTCGCATTTCGATATCTGAGTTATTCCATGTCAAGTGACCCAATGTGAATTACGTTACATTTTTTTTCGTTTTTATATTTTACATTCATTTAGTACTTATAAGAGAGGATCTCAAATATAAAATCTTAAAGACTTATCTCATCCCATTTTTATATTATAAGCGAGTAAAGAATGTAGTAAGTTACGTATTTTGATTGCAGGAGGTCTATAGAAACACAATTTTCTCAGGCCAGAAATAAGATATCTTAATAAAATAAAAAAAGTTTTCTCCAGAATTGGCTATCATAACATATGCAACAAGACTAAATAATGTAAGGTTATTTGTTTATTTATTAATGTTTTATTGTTTATTATTTATTTTTTCAAAAAAGGAATGTTTAAGAATTATAAACTCGAAAAAAATTTTATAAAATCTGATCCCGGTGACATCCTAAATTGAAACTTGGTATGTGCAGTCTTTAAATATATAGAAATAAGTATAATTTTTTTCAAAATTTTAAAATACCTTTAAAAAAAAAACAATAAAACATTAATAAATAAACAAATAACCTTATAATATTTTTAGTCTTGTTGCATATCTAATGATAGCACATAAAATTCTGAAGAAAATTTTATTTTGTTAAGATATCTTATTTTGAGCCTAAAAAAATTGTATTTCTATAGACCTGCAATCAAAATACACAACTTATTACATTCTTTACTCGCTTATAATATAAAAATAGGATGAGATAAATTCTTAAGATTTTATATTTGAGATTCTCTCTTATAAGTACTAAATGTATGTAAAATATAAAAACAAAAAAAATTTAACGTAATTCACATTGGATCACTTGACATGGAATGACGCAAAGTCAGGTTTTACCCCTACTTTGAAAATTCAGTACTTTCACCCCCGTAAGGGTACAAACAAAATAAAAAGTGGTACAAACGGGTACAAACGATTCTGAAGCAGCACCGGTTTGCAGAATTAAAATATCTTTGAAAATGGCAAAGTTAGGTCTTACCCCTATTTGAAATTCGGTACTTTCACCCCGTAGGTACAAACGAATAAAAAGTAGGTACAAACGGGTACAAACGATTCTGAATCAAACTGCATAAAGAAATTAACGATATCTCAAAGTGGGGTAGCTGATGATTTTTTAATCCTTTATAACTTGCAACCCTTTGGGGTACAAACGAAATCAAAGGTGGTACAAATGGGTACAAACAAAACGTAATCGAATGCGTATCGAAAAAATCCATTTTCTTAAAGTCGGGTTCCAGGTTCACATAGGTGTTAAATGGCGGGATCGAGAGGGGTGGTCTTCACCCAGATTAATCTGCATCACAGCAAAAAGGGCCTCGGCTGTTTTGGCCAGGCAACAAGCTGGGAGGCAAACATGCATATCACTGATGCAAGAACCCTGGTTAATCCGGGGTTGTATCAGGGGCTTGGCGGCCTGCGGTAGGTTCTTTAGGACCCCATCAGTGGATCGGCCCAGGGCCTGCGTGGCCGTCAAAGGTATGGAAGCCCAGCTAATACCTCACCTGTGTTTCAGGGACGTTGCGGCTGTAGAAGTGGATTTCACTGATGACTCCGGTGACAGGAAGAAAATGGCTATTTGCTCGGCCTACTTCTCTCATGACGAGAAGGAGGCGGTGCCGCCTGCACCAGTGATAAAACTGGCAGAATACTGCCAGGAGACGGCTTCCCCTGATCATGGGATGTGACGCTAACGCGCATCACACTGTGTGGGGAAGCTCGGACACCAACAAAAGAGGAAGAAAAGTGTTGGAGTTCCTAGCATCTACGGATCTGGAGATTCTCAACACAGGAGACGAGCCCACCTTCTGCACTATAGCGAGAAGAGAAGTGCTCGATATCACTGTCTGTTTCAGGCAGATACAAGATACAGGATTCAGGTTGATACAAGAGGTAGTAGAGTGGAGGGTCTCGACGGAGCCCTCGCTCTCAGACCATAGGCAGATCACCTTCAGGACAGCTAAGGCTAGGGGAAAGGAGATCAAATTCAGGAACCCGAGAAAAACCAAGTGGGACTCCTATAGGGAAAACCTGGCCAGCAGTCTCAGAGGCTTCCCTAAGAGGCACGGGACAGAGAACGAACTGGAGACCTGTGTGGACTACTTGCAGAGGTCTCTGATAAACTGCTACGAAAGTAATTGCCCCGAAAAGGCGGTTACAAATAGTAGAGGAATTTCCTGGTGGACCCCTGGACTGCAGGGTCTCAGAGTGGCGGCTTGTAAGGCCTAAAACAGAGCTAGCAACACGGGCCGCCAATTCGACTGGGAGCTCTCAAGGAGGGCACAGAAGGAATATAGAGACTCTGTGGTTAGGGCGAAACTGGAAAGCTGGAGGAAGTTTTGCGAGGAAGTAGAGGGAATGCCCGAAACGGCAAGAATCTGCAGGATCCTCGCTAGGAACCCGGATGCATCTCTGGAAGCCATCGCACTCCCTGATGGGACGGTGGTGACTGGAGAGCGATGTCTGGAGCATCTACTGGAAGTGAGCTTTCCGGGCTTCCATAGGGAGCCGGGAAAGTTATTTGCATATAAGGAGCCGGGCTCACTCAGAAGAGCCCGACAAGCGGACTGGCGAATGGCGGCCAAGATTGTCATGCCCGAGAAGGTCAAGTGGGCAATCAACACCTTTAAGCCCTACAAGTCAGCGGGACCGGATGGCGTCTTTCCGGCTCTTCTACAAGAGGGACTGAAACAGATTGTGGGCCCACTGACTCGAACCTTAAGGGCTTGTATCGCGATGGACTACACACCCAGCGCATGGAAACTGGCCAGGGTAGTTTTCATCCCGAAGGCGGAAAAAACGAGCTACACCAAAGCAAAGGATTTCAGGCCAATTAGCCTAACATCGTTTCTCCTTAAGACATTGGAGAAGCTGGTAGACGCGCATCTGAGGAAGACAACTCTGTGGAGGCACCTTCTCCACAAAAATCAGCACGCGTATCGTTCGTGCTATTCCACCGAGACTGCCCTACATCAGACGGTAGCGTTTATTGAGGAGCAGCTGGAAAGGAAGGGCTACGCAGTAGGTGCTTTCTTGGACATAGAGGGCGCCTTTAACAACCGCACGAGGTAGTGTGTGAGGAAGCCGCCAGAAGAGGTGTCCCGTTGAAGCTCGTCGAGTGGATTCGGGGCATGCTAGGGAGGCGTGTGATGACTTCGCTGGGAACTGCGAAAGTCTGTGGGTGGGTGGGAAGAGGCTGCCCGCAGAGCGGAGTACTTTCCCCACTTTTATGGTGCCTGGTAGCAGGCGGACTATTAAAAGCACTGGACGATAGAGGTTTCACTGCACAAGGCTACGCGGACGACGTGGCAATACTTGTGCGAGGCCCTTTTCTAGAGACGCTTCTAGAGCTCATGCAGGGGGCACTGGAAGTTGTAGAAGAGTGGTGTCAAAGGACAGGTTTAGCGGTGAATCCACTGAAAACCGGTCTTACTGTCTTCACTCGCAAATACAAGGTGGGCACCATTGTGGGACCCACTCTTGGAGGAGTAAGGTTAGTTCTGACCGAATCAGTGAAATATTTGGGAGTTATCATGGATAAGAAACTGCTTTGGGAGGAGCACCTTCGTAATCGGTGCAAAAGCCTGTGCCAATATTTTTGGATGTGCAGAAGGACTTTTGGCCAGACTTGGGGTTTGAAACCGAGTATGATACACTGGATCTACACAGCCATACTTCGCCCCAGACTCACATACGCAGCCGTAGTATGGTGGACTAGAATGCAAAAGAAAACAGCCAAAGTTGCGCTGGAGCATGTCAGGGCTCTAATTTTGAGAGGGGCCCTGGGTGCTATGGTTACGACACCAGTGGCGGCGATGGGTGTATTGTTCGGCATCGAACCATTTCATGAGGTGGTGGTGGCTGCTGCAGCAATGGCGGCATACCGTCTGAGATGCGAACTAAAATAGGAAGAAGGGAGCCCGGCATACGAGGCTGCCGGAAGACGTTCTGCTGGATCCGATATTCGAGATGCGACAGAATATTTATTATTCGGGCTTCTGATAGGCGCTTCAA